TGTATTTGAATTTCACTTGCTTTCTCTTCCGACACGCTTTTTAAATATTATTCTGTAACATAAATCTAATATTATAAGATTATTTCTATTTCTCTTGGGATTTTTAAATATTTTAAATATAAATACAAACTAAATTCTTATATATTTTACAATATAATTGAGAAAATGACTATAAACTTAATAATTATCAATTAATAAAAATGCACATGAGCTTTCATTTAATAAAACAAATCTGATTCTGAAGAAGTATCTGAATTAAAAAAGCTTTGTTATTCGACCCAGAGAAAAAAAGAAACTAACAACTCATACTCACCAAATTCCCTAAGCACGATTCTACCGAGAAAATCAAAATCTCGACCAAGCACACATTTTTATACGATAAAAAATCGTTTCTGCAAGGGAATTCGTAAGTCGATTTGACGCAAAAGTCAGATTTCTACGAGATAGCTTGGTTGATTCCCGAGGAGGGCGGACGATTTCGCAACCTCTGAAACTGGATCGATTTTCAAAGTTATCGAGTTTCATACCGACTTTAGAAGCCGAATGCCGCGGTGCTTCCGTACGAACCAGTCGAGTGTGAACTGTCAAGGATGATCTGCCTCTTTGCCGCGTTCTTATTGACGGCCCTAGTCTAAACAATGTGGTGCCTAAAGAAAAATCCGCCTCGACCATTCGAAATATGGCCCACCAAGGTTTGACCACTTCGACTACGTGTCAATATTTACTAAATTTCATCGTCGCTATCGCGACATCCTATTTCGAACCGTTCTTTTCAAGACGATCTGTTTCCTCTCTGTCGATAAATTTTTTCAAAACATCCTCGAATGCTAATGGGAGGACATGGGGGTGAGTTTTTAAACGTTGAGGCGGCAAAACTCGACAAAGGAAAGAAGTCTCGTGATCTGTTGAACGGATCCAGATAAAAATCTTTAAATTCGTTATCTGACCTCCAACTACTTATCAGACTTTGGTTCCTATATTTTTTCGACCGGGAACTCGTAACAAAACACCATAGATAGCGTGTATTTTTTTGGTAATGGCTAAATATACGTATGCATAAATAACTAGCCTGAAATACGAGCTATTCGTATTTAGAGTCGTTTAAGAAAAAATTATTGATCCTAACGAACTCCCTCTTCGACACGTGATTTGTGAGCATTTTAGATTAGAAACCGAAATCTTATCCCGAGATATTTGCTCGTTTTTCGTTTTATTTTAGTCGTTAGAATTGATGAAACTTTATCAATATTTATAATATATTAATAATTTTAAAACTTTTAATGTGAAATACGAAACAGGAATAATTATAAATATAAAATTTCTACATATAATAAATAAAATTAACATATTTATATAATAAAACTTGAATAAAGAATGGAATAGAATTAAATTAAAATAAAATAAAAGCTTCCATTAAAGCTCGAATATAATGATAGAAAGAAAATGGATCGACTTATTTCATTTCATACGATAAATGAAAAGAATTTTAATCAAATACATTACTTATTGGTAAAGAAGTTTTTGTTCAATGACGCTTGCGTACGAGCAACTCGAATCTGTTACTAGGCGTCGATGCTGCGTTACCGCAACGCTCAATATGTACTACGCGACGAGAAATAGTCCGCAACGCCGATATTCCATGCCGAAAATCTCTTGAAGTACGTCACGACAGACACTCGAACTTGTTGAGTATATTTGATTAGTATCATGGACAATCAGTATCGAGCTTTTTGTAAACAAAACGACGTAATTTCTGCAATATATGCAACATTATGGCAACGAGAATTGGGCGGGCACGCCCCTCCACACGGACTCGGTTCAGTGCCGTTGCACACAGTCTCAGCGCCCTAATAAAAAATTGAATTGTCACTGGAATTTAAAAAGAATCGATAAAAAATTTTGGAAATGGTATAAAAATGAATATCATAGTGGATATGATAATGCAAATAAATTTTAATAGTTAACGATAGCAAATTTTTTCATTTTTGATACAATTTAATTCGAAATATATCATTGATATTGTATATTTAATTTGCTCTTAATAAAATAAAGATAATATGAATTTTAGAATCATTAGATAGAATTTTATCAAACTTATATTAAATATTTTATTTCGTG